GTGTGTGGGGTGTGTGGGGTGTGTGTGGGGGTGTCTAGAACTTCCCAGGGTAAACCCGGCCCTGGGCCACAGGGGACTCCCAGGCCACCTGATCAGGAGGGGCCAAGCCTGTCCTGACAGAAGAGCAGGGGGACTTTCCAGGGAAGGGGGGGCCTGGGCGGGATGTCACACAGACAGGCGGCACTGTGGGGCACATCCCCAGCCCTATTTACATCTAAGACAGGGTCTCCTTAAATTGCTGAGGGATTCATTGAGTTGCTGAGGCTGCTCTCAACTCACAGTCCCTTTGCCGCAGCCTCCGCGGGGTGGCTGCGATTGGAGGCCACGCGTTCAGGAACCCCAAGGCCACTTTTGCTCCTGAGAGAGGAAAGTAACACTGCCCCTGGGGCTGCTGTCAGCAGGGGCCGGAGCTCCCCATGCGCCCCGTGAGCAGCACCCACCGAGGGGAGAGCCGAGCCCGGGAGGGCCAGGCCAGGGCTGCAGCACTGCCCAGGGCAGCCCTCAGGACGCTGGGTGGGGAGCTGCCTGAGGACACTGGGACACCAGCAGTCCCGCGACCACGCTGTGACAAGTGCACCGCTCTAGTGTGGGATGTCGGGGAGCACCTGTGGGGACAGGGGACCGTGGGACCTTTATGTGCCTTATGTTCAACTGTGCCACCCTTAACGCCACGACCCCAGGGGAGCGAGCGGCACCCGTGCTGAGGGCCCAGCCGCCAGGGCGCGGGGAAGGGCTCCCGGAGCCCAGGAACTCGAGGCCAGCTGCGCAGCAGTGAAAGGCCCCGGCTTAAGACTGAACCCCGGATACCGAGTGGCGCTCCTCTGGCCTGGGCGAGTCTCTGCTTCCGTCCCCAGCACCGCACACACTCCAAAATAGGAAAGAAAAGTGAGATAACAAAGTGGCAGCTAGCTGGGGTGGTGGCACACGCCTGGAAGCCAGTGACTCACAGGCTGAGGCAGGAAGACCGCAAGTTCAGAGTCAGACTCAGCAACCAAGAGAGGCCCTGAGCAACTTAGTGAGGCCCCGACTCAAATGAGACTGGATATAAAGACCGGGGGGCTCAGAGTGGAGTGCATCAAAAATAGATAAACAAAGATGAAAGAAGATACAATAAAAAGGCCATGCAACAGGCCTGACCTGAGGAGGAGACTCTCTCCACGTCGCCCTTGGGAAAAGGGGACACAGGGTAGGGGACAGGGACAGGAAATACCGGACTTCTACCTTGTTCCCACTCAGACAACGTGATGAGTGGATTCTAACAACAAAGTCCACACGGGGGTCACAGCCTGTCCCCAGAGTTCTCCCTGGGCCTCTGAGGCTGCTCCTCTGCCCAGGCCAGGGCTCTCCTGCCTGCTGCCACCTGCTGAACTTGGACAACACCAAACAACCCACAAAGGCGCCTCTGCGTCCCCCACACTCAGGGGAAGGCCGTGAACAGGCAAGTGGCCCGGGCTGTCGCCCCAGCTCCTCAGGAGGCTGAGGCTGGAGGATCCTGAGGTCCAGGCCAGCCCAGGCCACTCAGTGAGACCATTTCAATGTAACATTAAAAAAAAAAAAAAAAGGTCTGGGGATGATCTCAGTGGTACAGTGCCCCTGGGCTCGATCCCAGGACAGGAAACAAGCAAAGCTGCTGTGAGAAGGAAGGGGATGAGCCCCCGAGACCCAGGAGCAGAGGGGGACGGCTCTCATCTCACAGGCCATCAGTGACTGTCCTTGGCCGTCGCTGAGGGACAGCCGGGACTTCAGGGAGGCCTCATTAGTGTTTCTTCTGTAAAAGGAGGCGACTAAGAAATGCCCCAGGAAGGAAGGTGAGAGCTGGCCAGGACACTGTCCCCAACCTCGCATAAAAAGACTGAGCCTTGAGTGTTGGCTGGGTTTGAGCAAAGGTTCTACCACTGAGCCACACCCCCAGGACACCGTGTCCCTTCTTATTTTTATTTTTTAAATTATTTGTTTATTTTTGGTCCTGGGGATTGCACTCAGGGGCACTCCACCACTGAGCCACACCCCAGCCCTGTTTTGTATTTTATGTAGAGACAGGTCTCACTGAGCTGATCTGAGGCTGGCTTTGACCTCCGGCCTCAGCCTCCCGAGCCGCTGGAGTTCCGGCGTGCACCACCGCGCCCGGCTTCTCTCTGAGACACAGTCTCACTGCGTTGCCGGCTGGACACGAACTTGGGATCCTGTGCCTTCGGCCTGTCCAGGGGCTGGGATGTCAGGCGTGGCCACGCACCGGCTTCCAGGCCTTTTTATAAAGACCGTGGACACTGAGAACAAATTCAAGCCCCAGAGCGCAGGTCAGGGGCGGCCGCTAAGCCGCTGGGGCAGTCAGTCCAGCGGGAGGAGAGCGGCTGGCAACTACGGCT